TATGACAAGTAATACCCAGTTTTAGAACTGAGTCATCCTGATTATAAGTGGAATTTCATTTTCGTTTTTTAATACCCAGTTGTAGATTATGACAAGTAATACCCAGTTTTAGAACTGAGTCATCCTGATTATAAGTGGAATTTCATTTTCGTTTTTTGTACAATATGCTAATTGGCTCGTTGCAGGGCTTATGTCAGGTTGTGCAATCAAGAATGTTTACCCAATCTCCTGACGTAGGTCTATAAACAGCCCGACCTTGAATGTGTTGACTGAGGCTCTATAGAATTTGTCATAACAGCGCGACCTGCATTGTTATGACAGCCTGACTTTAAAACACGAGGGAAAACTGAGGTCACTTAAGAGTCAAGGCAAATATAGACTCGCGCACCAGCCGCTGTGAGTCTGTGTTGTGATCTCCAAGGGGGCGACTGTAAATATGAAGGGCCTGGCCTTATTCCGAGACTGAGACATTGGGGCTGAGATATCGGGAGGGGCGGGTGGGGTGGGGGCGTGGCCAGAGGGTGGGGGAAAGGGGGAGGGATAAAGTCTGGTACCTGCCCCTCTCCCCATTGGCCCTGTACTACCCCCAGACCTATGGCAAAGTCTGGTATCCGCCCTTCTCCCCTACTCGAGTACTTTGTATCAATAAGTTACTGTTAGTCACGCGCCCTCTTGATTTTTGATAAAGGTCACATACACCTAAGAAAATGAAGTCCACAACCACTAGGCCTACATGAGGTTAATGTTGATTTAAATATTGCCGTGCAATGGGTGACTTTTCTCGCAGAGATGGAAACTCGAATTGAAGACGGAATAGCGATATAAAAGATGTACAATGCGTAACTGGTGAACACACAAAAAACCCTATGTTTAGAACAGTGTGTTGGTTTAAAAGCCTTTAGCAACTTTAGACCTATTGTATGTGCGGCGGGCGCATCTTTTTTAATCGTGTTGCTTTCCAGACAATCATTAGTGTTATCGAAGCTCAAAGTTCCGTATAATTTGTCCGATAAGAGAGGTAATGATCGCGACGAAAACTACCTTTTAATGCGCACATTATTGAACCGCCCTATGAATAAAGCAACCGGCTAAAAGTGTCATTAGACCTAATGGGTATGTATGTAATAGCTGTCTGTTTAGGTTCGATAAAATAAAAATTTGGTGTCTATTTACGAAAAAAAGGCCGAAATTTGTTATCGGTTTATACTTTTGGTGTATTTAGCGCCAATATACTTCAGGATGACGATGACGGACGATCCGAGGGTCAAATCATACTAAAGTTTAAAGCTCATTAGAAAGCCAAATACAAAGTAACACATTTCCAACGCTTCCAGGGTTCGACCGTCCAGCCAGGCTACTGAAACAGACTCTTATAACGAGCCCGCGGGCATTTTCAATAGCCCGCATGTTTATATTTCTTTTATACTTATATATATAGAGTGTCTCCTAAAAAACAATGTGCATACATGTAATACGTGTATACATGTAGAGCCTGGAAGTTGACCCGTGGTGGCGCGCTTCAGACAGTCCTACTTTATGCGCAAAAATTACCAAACTAACGGACATAAATAAATCCGCCGTAGATTAAGGTCACAGAAATAAGAGGGACAATCAGCGAAAATATGTTGTAAATTCGGCCTACATTTTAAGAATCGTCTAAGTCTCATATTTAAGTGGAGTGCTTCAGTGTGGCGAACCCAGGATTTGGCTTTTGAGGGGGGTTCACAATTTTGTTTTGTTTTGAAATCGCCCCTCCCGGTTTTTGCTCGATTGGCCATTCTAAGCTCCATATATGTTTAATTGTTTACAAAGTAACTCACCCCCCCCCCCCTTCTTCTGATTTCTTAATCCGCCCCTTACGACATAGCAAAAGATGAATCGGGGCACGTGATCACTGTCACGAGGTCTCCTCCAATGAAGAAACCATTAATCTGCACGCTATAAGGCCAAATAAAAAAAAAACATGTTTAGCGTCCTACCTTTTTGAAAAAAAAGGGAAGGAGGAGGCCTTTTTTGCTGTCCAAAATGGCCGCCCGACCCATTTTCCAAAACGACCGGCCGCAACCTCGTCCCCAGTGCTTACTTTATTTCTAACCTCGTTTCCAATAGTAAGCCCTGGATAGGAAACTTTCTTCCTGTATCCTGATTCAATACCGCAATTGGCTAGAAATGGATTTCTATCGTGTACTTGGTGTTGTTATTCACAACGTGCAGTACGTGTTTTCGCGATCATTCGTCCACGCCTTCTCGAAAATATTCATTTCCTTTCCAATTTGTTTATATTATGAAATGTGATATTGCATGTTGTCTCGTTAAGATCGTAACAGTTTAATTAAAATAAAATCGTGTTTCTGTAACTCACGCCACGCTCGCGCTGCTCGTATGCGACGAATTGATTCTGTTTTTACCCCAGACACCGCAAACAAAAGCAAACGCAAATGTAACGTACAGGCAGGCACCAGACTATTCCTCATTTGCATACGTGCTCAAAAATCTTGCACATGCAAATGATCCAATACCAGGGTGAGAGAGCAGATAGTGGTGGGCGCGTACTGCTCGACGCCCTGGGGACGAGGTTGGACCGGCCTGGCTATATTTCAAGATGGCCGCCTGCTTTTCTTTTCTTTTAAATGGCCGCCACTTGGACTCAGGAAATGACATACCAGCTTTGTGGGACAGATACAAGAGACAAAGAGGCCAAAATGATGTCACTGTTTAGAATTTATCATTTGTTTCCGTTAAAAGAACAAACAAACACCCCCACACCCCAACAAACAAACAAACAAACAAACAACCCGGCGGCCTCCAAAAAGGAAGCGGGCTGGGAATCTACATATTTTTTTTTTAATTTGGCCTGATGTACAAAGCAACAACCCCGTGACGGTATTTATCTGAACAACAGCTGAGCTGGCACAATAATTTCGCCATTGAAAGGTCTACAGGGATTGACATTATATTCGAACGCATGAAAAAAAATTGCAACCATATCGAAGGATGCTTGACCTTTCATTAATGTTCTTATCATATGCATAAAATGGTTGCTCAATATTGTCAACAAGAGATGTCATTAATGAGCTAAGAAAAATGTTGGCTGGTCCATTGACGGAATCGATTGATCATTGTTTCGTATTGAAAAGGAGAACTGCGCCGAGGCCTCGATTGAATGTATGAGATGTATAATGTATATAGCTGTACAGTATATTTTTTCTGTCCCCAAATACACTGTTAAAATGGTACGTAGGCCTATAGCTTTTAAACACGTTTTTGTGCCCACTGTTTTTCACATGAATATTCTGAATCGTGTTTAGGATTTTGCACCGTCTGCATAATAGTGCCATTAATAATGACAGCGTGATAAAAGTGTACATTTAGCCTGTCATTTGACTTCAACCCGATAAGTGATTTTAATTTACTTTACAATTTATACCATATGGCACTAATGGGATTTCGTACGCGCCTAAACATGTCACAGACATCCACAAATCTAAAGGTGTCGTGGACGTAAACATGCCCAAAAAATGGGTACAAAACAGCGTTTAGAAATGAGTTTAAACTCTGAACACTTCATAAAATTGTGTACAGTGTGTAGTTGCTGTCTGATCGATTTACATAAATCCTTTAGGCTGAAAATTGAGGGGGAAATGATTGGACTGCTACACACACAATCATCAGAAACACGTTGCTCAAAGTGAAATGTAGGTTTTATTTACTATATCGAGGTTATTTGAATTGAGATGGTGATTTATTCGCGTTCTCTCACACGCGCTGGAAGGTAAGACTAAGAAGAGTTATTCTTATTGTATAGTCGGCAGTGGTAACATTATCAATGCACGTCATAGGTAACATGTCATCAAATCGACATAGAATGTCGAGAAATTGCGATCCTATCCTATAGGGCTGTCAGACATTGAGTAAGTCTTTATCTTGACTTCCTTTCTATTTACCAATAGTTCGATATTTACGAGGATTTGCATCATTCCCTAGACAGTCCAATTTTGCGTCAAACCAACGAACAAAACTAAAGCCGCCGTGACACCCTCGTGCCCCATTTTAACTTTAAAACTTTCATTAAGACAGGTCCGACCACACTAGTAGATTAAGGTCGCGAAAATAAGAGGGACAATCAGCGAAAACATGTGAATTCTGCCTACATTTTAAGAATCGTCTAAGTCGCATATTTAAGTGGAGTGCTTCAGTGGCGAACCCAGAAAACCTGATTTTTTTAATCAAAAAAATTACTTCTGGAAATTACATGGCACAATCACGTGACTCATGCATAGACACGAATTCGTTGACCCGCAGCTTCCGAGATATTTCCGATCGAGTTTAGTGGGAATTAGGGGTTATCGTGCACCCTCGGAAATCAACTTCTAATTGACGTCTCTAGATCAGAAAAATGCGTAGAAAACGATTTGCTATGTTAAAAAATTCAAACATGGGTTAAGACACCTTACTTGTGTAGTTATATATGTGCTATATTGGCCGAGATATGCCAAAAACATGATTTTCCGTTATTAGCGGCACTAATTTGCATATTCCTATGCCACAGACACACGTGGTCGCTTCCAGAATAGTTTTATTGTGATCTCTAACATTGAAAATATGGGTTGAGACACCTAATTCGTTCAGTTATCTGCAGTATTGGCTAAGATACAGTGAAAATAGATTTTTCGGTAATGGCGGCATTAATTTGCATAAAAACAATACGTGGGACACTTTTTGATTTTCTTAACATAGCAACTCTTTTTCCTCGTGGAAGAGGCCAATGTAATTATGCAGTCACGATGCTTATAATTCACGGTCAGTCGACGACGAGCAGTTGGCACGCGGTAGGCCTGCTACCTAATGCATAATGCACACTGCATAATGTTTTACCATTGCAGAAAGAGGCAACTGACATAATTTTGTAGAGGGAACTGCGTTTCATATTTGGTTCATTTTCATAAGATAAGTCCACCCGCGAATAAAGCACCACATTACTAGCCAAACACCATACTGATATGGGTGAAAGCCAACGAGATTCTCCCGCCTTGTGCCGAGAGACATCATGGAGTGGGTGGTTGGCCGTCCTCGTACTATGGACCCACGGCTTCATCTGGGTAGGAATCGTCAAATCCCTGGCGATGATGCTGCCTGTGTTGAAGGACCAGTTTGATTCAGAAACCTGGATCCTTGGTTGGATGATAGCGATGATACAAGCCATGAATGGAATAACAGGTATGTTTCCAAACAGGTGTTATGTTTAATAAATTTACCTCAGTATTGGGTTTTACCCTTCACCTTCCTTATGCTTGATGTTGTCGAGTTCTTGCGAGAAAAAAATCACAAGTTATATACTCGGCGGGCAGAAGCCACTAATTTACATCTTCCGACGCCAAAGTCCATCATAAGAAAGCAAACTATCCCAAGAAGTAACAAAGCAAGTGTTTATAAAACGTACATCCACCACCTACACCCAGGCTCTGTTTCTGGTTCTGGTTCTGGTTGAGTCGGTAAAATTCACTCAAGAATATCACACCAATCACAGTTGCGATATCCCGACGAGATATAGGCCTATATATTGTGTCGCTTTGAAGGACCAACTGTTACATACGATTTCCCCCCATTTGTGTTGATAAATGACTGACCATAAAGCAACTGACCATTAAGGGGCACAATTATATGGAATATAACAGTGTGCCCCAGGCGCGGTTCTACGGGGGGGGGGGGGGGGGGGTCTAGGGGGGGCTGTAGCCCCCCCAAAATTTTGTCTAGCCCCCCCAAAATAAATTCCGTAAAAAACAAATTGCTTCAGCAAAAAGAAGGATTGTGACGTACATGTGAACGGTCTCCCTCTAAAGAAGAAATAGCCGTGACAATGGGTGCATTAGTTAATATAGTGCAAGGGCGGATCCAGGAGGGGGCCAAAGGGGGCCATGCCCCCCCCCCCCCCCAAAAAAAAAAACGAAACCAATTTTTTTTTTATGTGACATCGCAATAAAGGCAGGCAATGAGTACACCACCATCTTTTCCTCAAAAACAATTTGTTAAAGTGGTCAGAAATTGCCTCAGATTGCACCATAGAGCATCTAGAATCCCAAAAAAAATTTTGGCCCCCCACCAAAAAAATTGTGTTCTGGATCCGCCCTTGCTATAGTGTGAATGATTTTAGGATTTTATTGGCGCTCCCCATTGAAATATGGCATGAGCCCCCCCCCCCTATTGATTTTCGGAGGCCTAAGTGTCTGGAAAAAAATAACCGGTCAACATTTCAGCACGCCTCCCTGAAAAAAATTCTCGATCCACCGTGGTAGCCCCCCCCAAAATATTGGTTCTAGAACCGCGCCTGGTGTGCCCGTTGCTATCAGATCGTGGACCACGGTCCGCCGCGCGACCCAGGCCAGGTCGGTGTAAATGTAGTTTCAAAATGCTCTTATTTTTAACCAGAATTAGTTTCCTTTGCTGAAATTTGGAGTTAATATCCCTTTTCTAAAAGTCTTCCATTTGCGACAAACAACATAGCTTGGAAATTCCTAGTTTTTGAGTAAAATCCATATATCTATTTCGTGAAAACCTTGTGAAGATTCATCTATAGAAATTGCCCTGTGGAGACGTATACAATCTTTTGTTCCCTGTTGTACACACGTCTCCAGAGGGTACGGTGTATCAGATCAGACATGTAAATAGGCCCAGAATTGCCTACGCTGGCCAAATCTCGATTTGCATGCCCTCGAATTCTCACGTATAGAGCATTTTGAGGGCCGTGAACTTGAGGATTTGTAAAAAGAAAAAGGGTCAGTGGAGGCATTGCAGAGACTTGCGAGCTCGTATTTCTGTAAAATTTTGATGAAATTATGTCCAAAAATGGCCTATGCAATGGAGCGTATATAGGTGTCCTTTTTCAAAATGGGCTTCAGCATTGCTTTAGGGGTGATCATCTTTGGATGGAATGTTTTTTTTCCCAAAAGTCATCGGTTAATCCCCCCCCCCCGTCAATTAGATGGTATCTCAAACACCTTGGAGAGTTGTGATTATTTTTTAATACTTTTAGGAAGTATACTGGTACTCATCAATGGGGATTATGGGAGTCAATTTGCAGGTCTGCACCCATAATGCATTCGGCAGCCATCTTGAATGTGTGTTTTGTTATCTTGAACAAACATAAAACACACATCTCCGGGTAGCAGATCTGTAAATCGACTCCCATAGACCTCAGTGATAATTACGCGTGCTTCCAAAAAATATTTAAAATACTCGCAACTCCCGGTGTTTAAAACACCCATCAAATTAAAGCTTATTTCATCATCTTTCCTTTTCTGTTAAATTTGTGGGTAGTAATGATTTCCTTTGGGAGAACATCCCATCCAATGATGGTCACCCCTAAACGTAGTCCTGTGGCCCATCGCCATTTAAAAAAAAAATGTTTGCGCTCCATTGCAAAAGTTTAGGGCCCAATTTCATCCGATATTCCAATTTTCACAGAAATACGTACGAGCTCGCAGTCCTGTGCACGGTTTCCACCCATCTGGTTTACACACCTTCAAGTCTGCAGTGGCCCACAAAATGCTCTAATAACAAGGAAATTGAGGGCATATATCGTGATTCGGTCAGCGTAGGCAATTCTGAGTCGACTTAAAGGTCTGCAACCTCCAAGATGGCTGCAATGCGAACAATACGATAAGTTATTTCAATCGTCATATTCATAATTTGTGCCGAAGGTAGTTTGTTAACCAAATACCCTCGTAATAAATTATTTATTATCGATGATGAGATATATCTCAATTAATTTTATGACCAAATTTAATATTAAAATAAGACTTAAAGGTTTGCATGGTGGACACGAGCAAAGAATGGAGGGTTTACTTTTAACTATCTCACTTACATTTAGTTGTCCTAAACCCTGCACCCTTAAATGTGATTGGATTGTTGGACCCTTCTCTTATCCCTGATTGGCTGCAAGTGTCGTGGAGCGTGGTCACTGCACTGTCGGGTCACAAGAGGGCGCACTCATTTCCCCACCAGTGGAAAACGGGATTGACTTGCAGAAAAAATACATGCGCGGTACCGTCCTAGATCCACGGCGCTTAATGTCAAGACTTATAATAAACAATGACATCATAAACAAGGGACGATTGCAGGTCGTCACATTATCTCTTTTGAATTTTTTGGTTCTGAGAAGAATCGGTTGCTTTAACTCGACGTTTCGAACACTGAGCTCTGCTGTTTTTCATCAGGAGACTAATGACGAACAGAGCACACTGTAACAAATAAAAAAATAATGACCATTTTTAAATTGTTAATCCCTTAATCCGAATTGTGTTATGTACGAGTTGAGATCGGGCGAGGTTTGCAGGAATAATGCATAGGCCTAATCCACTTTCAATGATACTGCACCTTTGTATCCCAATTAGTTTAATTTCAATACTCGTATTACCATTTTAAAGGTTGTTTATCGGTACCGGTTTTGGTTTTTATGGTAGTGCATGTCCATATTCATAAGCAAAACTGTTATTTATTCAATGTAGAAACTGCCGTGTTTACAGCCTCTTCAGCACCAAAAGTTGCCAGAATTGTGGACATTTTGCTGTGGTATTTTCTGGTGTTTTTTTTGGTGATGCACTGTTTCAGTCATTACAGTTATTCAATGAGCAAACTTCATGCACAATGTTTCAAAATGAGCTGCACATTTTGGGTTCACAAGTGAAACAGAAAATCCCAAAATGAAATAAATAGTGGGTGCGTTCGTTTAGCTCAGCCGGGTCGACACGGGTCAGCCCCGTGCCGTTCGATTAGCTCTGCATGACGTCATTCTCGGGGCTCACCATCTGCCACCACAGACCCTGCTCGTGGAGCAGAGTCACCGGTGGAAGTACGTCAAGCATGCGCTGTTCGTTCCATGAACGGACAAATATGGCGGCCGGACAGCGGAAATCTCAAGTTGACTTTTAAAAGGTTATCATGTATTTAGTTCATTGCGACTTTTGAGGCTATATAATATATTCAACTCAACTTTTTTGAGTTTTGGAATTGACCGAAAAGTAGTAAATCTCAAACTAAGACCCACGGCTAAGGGCACCACGTGAGGATCGTGATGGCCCGTGGTTGAACGTTCGATTTAGCCCGGCTGTCGTGGCTGACCCGTCTGCCTTACTCGAACGCACCCAGGGTATGCCTTGAATAACGTCACAGCAACAGCGCCCTCCGTGCAAGGGCGGATCCAGAACACAATTTTTTTGGGGGGGGCCAAAAAAAAATTTGGTCCCCCCAAAAAAGTGGGTCTCAAAAATTACGGCGTGGGGTTCGGGGCCCGTGAGGGCCCCGAAAAATTTTTGGATTCTAGATGCTCTGTGGTGCGATCTGAGGCAATTTCTGACCACTTTAACCAATTTTTTTTGAGGAAAAGATGGTGGTGTACTCATTGCCTGCCTTTATTGCGATGTCACATTAAAAAAAAAAAAAATTGGTTTCGTTTTGGGGGGGGGGGCCATGGCCCCCTTTGGCCCCCCCCCCCCCCCCCTGGATCCGCCCTTGCCTCCGTGAAATTCCTCTTGGATTGCTTGAACTTCGGTTTAAATAAACAAATGATAAAATATAATCAACAAAACCGGCCCCTTAAAAAAAACTACCTCTTATAATTCCACTAGGTCCATTTTCCTCGTCACTGAGGGACAAGTTTGGAGCAGCCTGGGTGGTCACTGTGTCCGGGGCTATGATCGCGGCGGCCGTTATCACTGGTTCGTTCGTACAGACTGCACTCCAAGAAGGAATGGTTTATATGCTATTAGCAGGTAAGATCCGAATCAACTTAGTTTTATGGTTAGATGGTGGACATAACTGTGGGACGCAATTCGGTTTTATGGTAGAATCTGTATTTACCCAAATTCAACCAAACTTAAATAGCGCCCTCCTAGTGTGCTCGCCACATCTCAAGAATGAACTTTTCTGGCTTTCAGTTCGTCTTTCATTGTTTTAAAAACAACATTCATTGTCAGTCCGTATAAATGTTGAGGTAATATTCTGCAAGATGCAAATTAAGAGGGGCGCGGTTCGGAATCACAGGGCCGGAGGGAGCACTTATAGACCTTAAATCTCTGTCAAGCCCGCGGAATTGTGCAAGATTTTACTACCAAAGTGTGTTTTCTTTTTCGTGTGGTTTTAAAGGAGCGGGTTATGGTGTATCCAACGTTCTGACCAAGGATGCTGTCGGCCGTCTGTTTGATAAGAATTACGCGACGGCTGTCGGCGTGGCCCGGACCGGCTACTCGGCGGCCCTCTTCGTGTTTGCGCCGCTCGTCCAGTTATTCCTCGATACGTACGGCTGGAGAGGGACCATGCTACTGTTGGGAGGCATCACCATGCATCTGGCGGCTTGTGGCGCCCTCTTGCGAATTGCTGACAAACCAACCCATCGTGAGGGCTATCAAACGCTCAACTCCTCGCCAGAAACTAGCTCGGGACGCAACAACATTTTGAAGTCGTGTGGAAGGTTTCTTAAAAGCATCGTGATGAACTTGAACTTGGGTTTGTTGAGCAAGTTCAGTTACTGGTCGGTGTATGTCATTTATGTCACCTCCAAGTACGCCATCGACTCCTGGGTGATCTATTTTGTGTCACTGTCGCAGTCGTGTGGGCTGTCGCTGGAGGAAGCCGCGACAATTGTGACGGTCGCTGGGGTCGGCAATCTGCTAGCCAAAGTCGGACAAGGGATCGTGACAGACAGAGGCATCCTCCCTTATTGGGTGCTGCTAGCCGTAGCCACTGCCATTAGCGCAGCTGCATTCTGCGCCACTCCCTGGTTGGCCACGTATTGGACGTTGATGGCGTCTGCCTTGCTCATTCTCATCGCAGACGGTGTTGTTAGCTGTCTGAGTGACGTATTGACCAAGCAAGTTATTGGCGTGGAGTTGCTGGCTAGCGCTTACGGGTGGATCGGGATCCAAAACACGATCTGCAGATTCACTCTTGGTTTTATTCCTGGTGAGTGACTTGAACCCGAAAATAATTGAGACATTATAGGCCTAAAAGTCGTTTACATTGTGTGTCGGTGTGATTTTATTCGAGGTGGGGTTCGAACCCCAAACCTCGGTCTTACCTGCCCCAAATTATCCATTTTGGGGCAATCGACGTCTCGGGTTGTGTTGATAAGAGTTGTATCTGCTGTTAAGAGTAATATTTTTTTCTACAATTTCCCATCGTTTCTCCTTATAGTATTTCCGTGTTTGATAAGTGTTTCACACGTTTGGATATGTAGGATGTTAAAAGTTTTCAAACCCCTCCCCCACATAAATGCGCCCTAGACAAAATGTCTCCATAATAATTAGATTGCGTCATTTAATTCTTTTAAAGCTCTGACAGGAGCTTCTACATGTCACTTGGTGGTCTGTCTGTCGGTCGGTCGGGCTGTCTGTCTGTCCCCGAAAATCGACCAAAAAGTTTGACCAAAAACAAATGACTAATTGACCAAATGCCATGCCGTGGTCAGAAAATGCACGAATTTTTTTTCGGAACACGGCGCGGGTTTTGTTTCGATCGATGCGCAAAGCGCGTTTACTTTGCATAATTGTATGTCTGTCGCCGAAAATTGACCAAAATAAGCCCCATAAGTTTCCCACAAAATGTAACCATACCAAATTGAAATGTTCACAACAAAATAAAACTAATACTTAACAATTTGTTCGTACCAATTCGGAAAGATGTTTATGAAAACTGTGTGAATGGAGGCAAAATATGTGCAGTAATGTTATAGTCACGTGGTATTTTGTGTATATAGTGTTGGACGGTATCCGGAAGGAGGAAATGTCCCCCAAATTGACCAAAAGTATGGTGTTCCTTCGGCCCTATGTGCCATCGGCGTCGCATTTTTCGCCAGAGCTTATTGTGCACTCGCACTTGTTTTTGTTTTTTTTCCTTCAGGTTTGATCTTTGACACAACCGGAAGTTACAGCGCCGCCTTTGTTTTCATCGGTTGTCTGCAGCTCATATCATTGAGTCTCCTTTTTGCCCTGCGATATTTTAAACACGTCAAGTGAGCAGGGACGTCGCTACCAACTTAATTTGTTTTGGTGGGGGGGGGGGGGGGGGGGGGAGGTGACAACGAATTCACTGACAGGCCATCTGTGCTGGTAGACTATAGAATAGATATATCGCCCTTGCACAGCAAGGGTCTACATGTATATGATGTGTGAGCAGATGGGGCGATGATAATACAAAACAAGACTTTGCCTAGCCTTGACCAAGGCTATCAGCTTGTTCCCATATGAGCTTGTTCCCGCTACCGCACACTGCGCGCGCAGCGACACAATGTTGTACTATACTATACCGTTAGCCCCAACGACCCTTGCGTGTGCTTTGTGTGCATGTACGTACGCCCCACACACACTTCCGCAAACAGCCATACAGTAAGTCCAGGCGGAAGATATTTCGACTTATTGTACGGCTGTTTGCGGAAGTGTGTGTGGGGCGTACGTACATGCACACAAAGCACACGCAAGGGTCGTTGAGGCTAACGGTATAGTTCAACTAGTGATTGTGTCGCGGCGCGCGCGGTGTGCGGTAGCGGGAACAAGCTCGTATGGGAACAAGCTGATAGCCTTGGTCAAGGCTAGACTTTGCCTTGACCTGATTCTGACCAGTCAGCGGGCGTCTTCTGTCGGGTCTTCGGTAACCCGTGTAAAAACATAACTGCGAAACTGAGCAATCAAAAGTTTAGCTTAGTCCACATTTCTGATCGAAAGGACGCCACGGGTTCTAAAGTCGACTCCCATTGGCTGACACGCGGGGTCGCAAGAAGTGTGCATGTTTACAAAAATCAGACGCTGTTTCAGAGTGGGCTGATCCGTTGAACAACGGATGATACTCAGACTACCGTGCTGAGAGGTCCAGGAATATTTTCCCGGCCACCCAGCCGCCGCAAAATCAAGTGGGTGGGAGCGACAATTTTTGCAGACAATTTTTTTTCGTTTTTGTCGGCAAAAATCGTTTTAATAGGGAGTCACCCCACCCCTCCCCTGCGACACCGATTTTGATCGGACTCAAATGCGGTTAGGACTATAGCTAAAAAAGATCGCCAGTTGAAGTACTAAACTAAACAGCTGATTGACTCTTGCTTACAACCACCTGCTCTATCGCTCCGTCCATTTTGTGACACTGGCAAAAGGAACAATTAGTTTTTATTTGAAAAGGGACATAATTTTGTGGGTTTGTCATAAGAGAAAAGGTCTGAGGGTAAATTTTTTCGGAAAAATGTTGCAACCTGGGGCGCCACATTTTCTTCATCTCAATGAAGGTCAGTCATTGCAAAAATAATGATGAGGCTTGAATCTAGGACTGAGAAACATTTCCAATGTTGTTAGGAAATAGAAATGTTCTTGACTCTCCATAGACTTTGTACACAACCGCTGAAGTGGTGTCATGTTGCAAGTTTGTTTGTGATATTAGGTAACATTTCTGGCTGTTAACTTTATATGACGTAGATGGTTGCCTATCGGCCTTGAATTATCTCAACATCCTTTCCACTATGTTTCTCTAGTACTGCTACCTTAGCCAAGGCCGTAGCATGGGGCCGTGGGGGTTGGGTCGGGGGAGGGGTTGAACATATGCATGGTGGATCCTAGCTGTGCGTTATAATCTTTACCTGTCAAAATAAAACAAAAGTTTTAACAGGCCCCAAAAGTTTAAATCCATATATTGTAAGCATAATTATTTCCAGCATTTTGGCTTTCGGCATTTATGCAGGTGAGGGCCTACACGTTTTAGCCAGCTTACTGATATCATGGAGGTAGTGCTGACACATGTATATACATGCGTTTTAGTAAAAGAGGTTCATTTTTGCTGAGAAAGTCCTACACGTACTTCTTTTTTGTGTGTGGAAAATACCCAAAGACCTGGCCCTAACATTGGGCTAACTACTGATACATCACGGGCCTGCAAGGAGCCCTACGGACAAAAATCGATTTGGGGGTGGGTTATGGCCTAGCCTTGAAAAGGTGAAATTATATATTTTTTTTAAATTAATCTCCAACTTCCATCTTCAATACGAACTTATGATTTTTGATACCTCAAACCATTATTCTCGTCGGAAAGATTCCCATATCTGGCCATCACTTGTCACCCTGTTCACAAACCCTGTAATCGGGGCTGGTATGGAAATTTCTTAGTGTCACGGTTCTCAATAAATACTTCAATATTTTCCCTGCTAACTTTGACTTTTTAGGACATAGTATCTCTTTCTGATGGCTGATACGTCACTGAAGGGAAAAATTAGTGATCATCGGCCAGATGTGGGATCTTTCCTTGTCGTCTTTCCTTTATTATTACCGGTCCCCATGCCCAGCCATAAAATGCAACACATTAACCCTCAGTCAAAGAATGGAGCAAAGGCAGTAGGCCTATGGGTCTATGATAAACAAAATCCGGCAAAATTAGACATCCTGACATCGATTCTTAATTCGCAGTAACCGTTAATTCAGTACATCAATTATTGGACTTTTGAAGGTAAAATAGTCGTGTTCCCTAACGTGGCGCACTTCGAAGCTTACCCAACTTTCCTCGTGTAGTGTTGCCAAACCTCTTTCTTGACAAACCTCAAATTCATGCAGTGAAATACTGGTACTTAATGCTTGCTACTAATCTCTGTGAACAATTTCGGTTTCATAAAATTTAATCCGAAATTCAAAAACGGTGGCGTCCGGAAATTGGGCACAAATTGGCGGAGTGTTCCCTAACGTGGAGCACTTGAATAAATCTCGGAAAATTCCAAATTAACATTTAAGAATTTCTGTAAACTTGATAAATTCTGATAAATCATTATTATCTCTACTTACATAGGCCAGCCAGATGTTTGTCAGAAAATTATTTTCTTATTTTTCGGGGCATTTTCAAAGGGTTCACTTTGCACTTGAAAATAAAATCGTAAAATCACGCCAAAATATTTTTTTCTTCTAACTTTGTAACGGGTAGGCCTAAATCAACTCGCGATCTATGAATGAGAGTGTTTAGAACTTGATGAAATTTCACTTTCTGTGAAATTTCAGTTAAAACTTTTGCTCTACTGCGCCAACGTGTGTGGTGCACTTTGATTTTTCGCCTGTACAGGCGAAAAATCAAAGTGCGACACGCACGTTGGGGGCCGCGCCACAGGGTACATCAACAACAGGCCGCTGTGTAGTGGAGCTGCTTAGGTCCATTTTTGGCCCAAATCGTGCACTTTGTGGTAAAAGCATGAAATTTGGCAGGTGAGGTCCCAATGGGCTAGAATTCATTTTAGGATCGGGACCCATCCTGGATCTTGCCCAATTTGGGGGCGGAGCTTGATTTGTTTTTAAAGGGGATGCAAACAATACAAACTCATGAAAACTGTATTTAACATCAATTTTCCTTGTTTTTCTATGGTTTGAAATAAACTTAAACATAAAATATAACATTCTTGCTTTCGAACACCAGTTAATTTCCACCCATTTTGTGGGCGTGGCCTAAATGTACAAAAGAGGCGGTATATATTAGCAGTTTGGTTCTAATATAGAAAACATTATTCGGTTTGGTAGTAAAATCCTGAAAATTGGCAGGTCTAGTTAAAATGGGCTGAAAATTATTATAAGAGGTGAACACATCTTGGATCTTGCACAATTTTGGGGGGCGGAGCTTGATTTTTCAAAAAGGGGAGTGCAAAAAATAAAAAACTCAAAAAACTGTATTTAACATCCATTTTCCTTTGTTCTTCATGCTTGAAATAAACTTAGACATGAAAAATAACTTTATGAGAAATAACACGTTAAAATTGTGCAGCAGCAGGATCATCGAACCAGTGAGTTTGGTGGTTTGAGACATCATCTTACATTGAAAGACATCATCTTACATTGCCGACGCGCATGGCTATGGCGATGCGCGCGCATACCAGAAACCAGAGCGTTTTTTGGCCTAATAATCGTTTTCTTCGTTTTGTATGAATAAAAAGGAGTAAATGCTTCAGATTTCAAATATGCACTTGTCATTTACAAGGCTGGGTTAGGGCAACCTTGAAATTATAAAGCAAAATAATTCTGCGCAAAAACTACTGCATTTATTAAAGTTCATTATACCATATGTTTGTATGAATAAAGCATGGCATTTGCTTTTTCTACCACTTTCGAAGCATTTACTCGCATCAGTATGAATGAAAATTAAGCAAACACTTTTACTAAATACCATTTGCTCTTGAGTAAATGGCCTGCAAAATGTAAAGCTTTACATGTTTATAAGTTTGCAGAAAATAACACTATCATAACCGAAACGGAAAGCGGCACCGGGGAGGGTCACGTGCTGGAGGACGGATACAAAAAAAGCGCATCAAACGCGACGAACGTAATGCCGTTTACGTGCACAATGCGCTGTGCATCGGCACCCGGTACCCATGATCTACATGTGGATTGGGTTTTCTACGGTGGCCCTGGAACGACATTTTAATATTGACCTTTTTAATGTGAACCTTGTAACCTTTTAATATTGACGTTATACCTTCGCAATATGCACGTTGCACGTGGCTTAATATCGCATTTTGGAAGTTGTTCCTTCTTAATGTGAATGTTCCAACTTGTTAAAATTCACGTTGGATCTTATCAATGTACACCATTGATCATGCTTGATATCAACGTTGCACCTTGCTTCTTCGCAATATGAACCATATACCTTCGCATTGTGAACGTTTGACCTTGCATCTTGTAAATATCATTGTTGAACCGTCCTCCTTCGCAATGTGAATCATGCATTCTAAAAAGTACGAAGTCCTTGCCAAGCCCTATAGTTAGACAACCAGTTATGATGGAGTTTCAATCTGACGGCTGTTTAATGTCACTTAACCTGGGCGTCTACCTTGTAGTGCTTTTTATCATGACTCAATTCTCTCTCTTTTATTTCACTCATCTTTTATAATTCATGTTCAGGCTAACCATAACCCAAGGTTGGGCATACATGTAAAAACATACATCCTGAAGAAAATTTGTCATTGTTTCAAATAACCCCATCTAATCATTTCAACCGTTTACTATACACAAAT